TGAGCTTTTGCATGAGATCTTGGCCCTATTTTGCACCATTTTGACCTAGCTTGTGTTAAGACATGCATTGGCCATGCATGTCTAAAAAGCCATGATTTTTATGGTATTTTGAAGTAGATAAGACCTTCTGGAAGTTTTGTTAGTGAGAGATAGAGATTCTTACTAGCATACACCAATCACATGTATGGATCCTCACATTCATTTGCTAGCTCTAGCTAATGGGAATATTCCATCAATTGGGAAAAAGAGATAACATATCAATAAATCAAAAACTTAAATAAAATCTAGTGATTTCAATCTTCAAACAAACCTCTGTTATTTTCTACAACATTGTCATTAACTCAAAAATGAGTATAGGTAGAGTCACCATTGATGTGATATCACCACCCACATACTTCTGCATCATATTCTAATGACCATCACGATCCTATAGAAAGAAACATGAGATTCAAAGCAAATTATTTTTTGATTTGTGAGGAATTCAATCTTCATGGAAGAAAAACAAAATATAATGAATACACCTCTTGATTCCATCTGCCTCTTTGTGCTTCAACTTCAACATCTTTTATCCATCCTTCAGGATTTATAACGTCCAAGCCCTTATAACCAAGCAAGCTACACAAACAGCTATGAATCCATGTAAATCAGAGATGCAAATAATAAGTTTCGCATCATGAGATCTTATATACCTAACAAGAGTCCATCATAAATTTTATATACCCGATGTAGTAGGGGTGGATGGATTTGCACTCGTCATATTTACCACAAAATTAGGTCTGGTAATTAAAGGGGCTTGCAATGAAGCTCCTTATGTTGGTCATATTTGTTCCCGAATTTCTGAATTTCTTTGCTGAAAGTGGGGAAAGAGATATGGTTGATGCGAAACTCGCCATTAACAAGTAGAAAGACAAAGAAAATGAATGTGGTTTTAAGAAGATCCATGGCTTAATTTTACAAAACCAAATAATGGAAAACAAAAAATGGGAAGAAGGATTGTCTTTCAGTGGTGATAGACACAGGTTAAAAGAAAGTTTATTTCGAGAAGGAAAGCAAAAATCGCAACGTTTCTATTTTGAGATATGTGCCATGCTTTAATGCATTGATATATTTCGAGAAGGCACTGCGGTTTATATTTTGTGGATACTCTGAGTATCTTGATGGCATGCTAAAGTATGGATACACTTAGTATCCTCTGTGTAATGTATTTTTTTAATAAGCGCTTGTATGATTGAACACACTAAGGTTTTTATCTTTGAGATAAATTTAATACTTGTCGTCATCATGCTAAGATGTTTGGCATTTCGACACACTAAGGTTCCTAGTCGGACCACACTGAGTGTCCGTTTGCTGGCCCGGGTGATCAATCCAGTTGTGATTCACTTCTGCATAGGGGTCTGCTCAGCGGTGTCTCGAAGCGTCTTCTAAAAATGGAATCTCTTCAAATGCCTTGTGTTCCATGTCCGTGGTATTGGTCGCCCTTCGATTGTTTCGAGAGAGTAGGATCCGCTGCGATGCGTCTCGACCACTTTGTATGGCCCTTCCATGTTGCCCCCAACTTGTCGCGCGGTTGCGCATGGTTGGCCTCATTCCGTCGTAGGACATGATCTCCCACCCAAAAAGCTTTTTCTTTTACCCGCTGGTTGTAATACCCCTCCACAGCCTTTTTGTATGCGGCCTGGCGCATGCCGGATCGCTCTCGACGCTCCTTAAGGAGATCCAAATTTTGTCTCATGTCCTTGTCGTTTTCCTGGTCCTAGAAGTGTGTCATTCGTATTGAGCCTATCATTAGTTCTGCTGGTAGCATTGCTTCTGCGCCATATGGTAGGCTGAATGGAGTTTCATTTGTTCTTGTACGAGGTGTGGTTCTGTATGACCACAGTACCCTTGGGATCTCATCTGTCCAGTTGCCTTTGTCTTTCCCAAGTCGTTTCTTGATTCCATTTACTAGCGTCCGATTGGACACTTCCATATGCCAGTTTGCCTAAGGGTGTGCCACGGATGTGAATCTTTGTTCGATGCCCCTCTTCGCGCACCAGTCTTTAAATGGATTCTCGGCGAATTGCAGGTCATTATCGTTGATTAAGACTTTGGGTGTCCCAAACCTTGTGATGATGTTTTTCCACAAAAACATGATCATTTGCCTTCCTGCGATACACGCCAATGGTTCTGCCTCCATCCATTTCGTGAAATAGTCCACAACTACAACTAGGAATTTGACTCTACCGGCGGATTCTGGGAATGGTCATACAATGTCGATCTCCCATTGGTAGAATGGCCATGGGTTGACAATGCTCGTTAGCCGTTCCGGGGGAACACCTTGCACTGGGGAGAAGATTTGGCATTCTACACATGTGCGAGTGAGTTTGGTGGCGTCTTCGTGGATGTCCGGCCAATAAAGTCCCATTCGGAGTATCTTCCTTCTAAGGGCTTTGGCTCCCTCGTGGGCCCCTGCCGGGCCGACATGAGCTTCATGAAGGTCATGTTTCCCCGATGCCTTATCTATGCATTTGATCTATGGGGTCGTATATCCTTTCCTATACAATACCCCTCCCAAGATAGCGTATTGTGGGGCCCGTATTCTCGTTTTGTGGGCTTCAGCGTGGTCATCTGGGAGGACGTCGTGTTATAAATAGTCTATGATGGGTGTCATCCAGCTGGGTTGCGTCGTAGATAAGGAGCCCATATTCTCGTATTCTCGCTTAAGGGCTTGTACGCGCAGCGTACCTTCTTGTACGCCCAACGTATTCCACCCTCTTAACCAACTTCCTCCTTCAGCTCTTAAACGGTTAAGACTTCACTCCAACACTTAGATCTGACTTCCTTAAGGTGGTTTATCATGTAAAGTTGCCAATTTTATGTGCATTCATGGCTTAATGAGGCTTTTAGAGCTCAAAAGAGCTTAACAAATGACTTAACTCACGCATGAGACCACAAATGCCATAGATCTTGCATTTTTATGGACAAAGGGACCTAAAGGACCCTAGATCTACTATCAATCACTTCTAGAGTGAATCAAGAGGCTCAACAACCCAACCATGGACTCAAAAAGTACAAAAATGGCACCAAACTAGACCTAGTAACATGGATTAGCAACATGGAAGCTTTTTACCTCACAAGGAAAGCAAATGAAGAACAAATCTCAAATCTTCAAGCTCCAAGCACAACTCCAAATGGTTCTCTTCTTCTTCTTCCCCTTCACAAGCACCTAAAAATCACACTTTAAGGTTCAAACGCTCAAAAACTCACTTAGGGTTCAATTTTCTGGGCAAGAGTGGACGGAGGCTGTCTAAATATGACCTAGTGAGGCTATCACAAGGTTTAAATAGGGTACAACACCCTAAAATTAGAGTTTCATATATGCACACATACGTCTAGCGTACTCCACGTACGCCCAACGTACATGGATGAGCTCTGCGACCAAACCCCAGCTAGTACGCCAAGCGTACACTATGGTACGACCCCGCGTACTAACCAAAAGGACCAAAATGCCAAACTTTTAATAAAGAGGGATTACATATAAAACTTACAAATTTTCCAAGTGTTACAGTGGGCCCAACATGCATGTTTGTATATTTGTTGTGTGGAGTATTTTGGGGGAACTCAAGAAGATTTATCTTACTATTTGATTTCATGGTTTCAGGTACATCAGATGATCGGGGCAAGGCAAAGGCGTGATTGTACACATCATCCTTGGACATTTTATTGATAGAAGATTTTGAGATACTCTGATTCATGACTATGTTTTTGGAAACAATGTTTTTGTATGATTTATGGATTATTAGATGGTTTTGAATATGAAAATTTTTACTATGATTTATGGAACGTTACAAAATTTGTTTTGCAAATCGGCCATTTGAAAGTTTCTTATACCGTATTTTCAAGTGGCATTGTATTTATTTGAGTACATTTGGTTGTTAGAGTGTGTTAAAATAAAGTAATTTCTAAATTTATGTTTCGCAAAACAAAAACAAGTGCATGAACTTCTCAATGTTTTGTGAAGTTGTTGTTTTAAAGTTTGTTTAAGTATTTTATTAGTGACATTATATTTGTCTGCGAAATATAGACAAAATACATGTATTTTCTTGTTATGTGATGTTAAAAATAAAGTAGTCATTGAAAATTTAAGTTTCGTGAAACAATAACATTTTTAGAAAACTTTTAAATTGTTTCATGAAGTTGAAGTCCATTATGGTAACTTTGGATTATCGATCATTAAGGCCAAGGTAAATAGAATAGTAGTAATAAAGAAAGAATGATTGTTTTTACAACTCATATATAACTATTGACAAGAACATCGTTTGGGTCATGGTTGAGAATGGTTAAAAGTTATAGAGAACCAATTGCAGTTCATGTGATATTCTTGTTTGAGAATCACCCTGGTGAGGACTATGGAGTGATTTATTTAATGTTGGTGACTATGAATTTCGTTTTGGATGTTGAAAGTTCTATATTTTATCTTCAGATTACGATTTGGCTAGACCCAACTCCTCAATAGACGAAGATAAGATTATGTTTAGCATATGGTTATCCCTATAGCTTCATCATAGCCTATAGTTGTAATTTAATCATTTACTAGGGGTTTTGTATGATACAAAGTTTGATGAAATGTCAAAAGAGAATGATATATCCATTTATGTCTTTTTATTATATTGGAGCTCAGACTTATGGGCTATTAAAAGAACTAGAGGGGAATCATGTGGTGTTAATTTATTTTCTCTTGTTTCAAGTTGTATCATGTAGTAGGACATAATATTATATTAATGAAGACATATTCGACATACAGGAGACCTTTGGATCCAAGAAGCCTGACACATTCATTTTTGCACCAATCTCTGAAGTCCATTGCCTCTGCAAAAACACAAGTAAAGAATTAATGCTATAGAAAGAAGAAGTGTATGGAGGATGATATATACAAAGCAAATTGTTGTTCCTTTAAGTGAAGGAAGTTTACCTGAATGTTTAGCCATCACATCTCTTTTCTCTTTCAATGAAGGAGATGATCAAAGAGAAGCTTCAACAACTCTTCCACTCCCAGACTTCTGTCGACTCATAGTAGCTCTTTTTCCAGGACTGTTCTTAGGCCAACTCCCTTGATTTGCAAGTTGAGGAAAATCAGCCCTGCATCACAACCACAAACACATCAAACACACTTCCATAAAATATAAATCATAAAATAAAAACACATATACAATAAAAGAAACATACTTTTTTGCTTCTTGTTTCGGGTGATCCAAAGGACCCAAAAAAAGATCATCATCAAGTTTGTTTTTTGATTGAGAAGAAGCACTGGTCCCACTATGTGTGTACTTATTCTTCCTCTCGCAACTTTCAGTATCACAAATTATTCAAAGAAGTTGGAAATTTCGTCTTTTGTAAAGTACAAAACAATGCATTCTTCTAAACCAATCTGATGTCTGCCCTAAAGCCTGATCAACATGAAATATGAAAAAGACGATTATACCCTTAACACAATAACATACAAATAACACAAAACCCAATAAGGAAAATGTGAATCTGAAAAGTACCATTCGAAGGTCATGCCTTTTATCCTCCCCTGCTATATCATCTCAAGTGCAATTATACCATCAATCTCTATAAATTGTTGGATCATTTTCAGGATTACATGAAGGTGTACCCAAATTAGAAGCTGCAGGGGGTTCACCTAACTGAAAGAAAAAAATAAATAATAAAGAAATTTATATTAAGAAAAAGGTGAATAAATTTCAAGATTTTTGTTTAATTAAACTCACTCCCTTTTCCTTTTTCACATGATATGTTAACATTTAAAATATAATATGTTCAAAAATAAAGGAAAAAAATAAAAAATAGATTCAAACAAAACTGAGGTGAACTACACTTCACTGATTTTCTCAAAATGAAAAAATGATATTTAATATTTTCAATGAAATCCAAAAAAAGAAAACAAAGCAAAAAAGAGTAATACATTTTCAAATAATTTTCTCTAATAAAAAAAGACAATACATTTCCAAGTAGATTTGGTTGTGAATTCCGAGGAACAAATAAAAATGATAATACATATTTAGGGAGAAAACATGACGTATCTTGCCAAATGTGTGATGATGCCCACTTCAGTTATTTTTTCTAAACCGTATGTTGTGAAAAAGAAATATATTATTAGTTTATTTTTTCAAAGTCATTAATTTTAGCAAATCGTCATGCCAACATGTTCATTAGCAATATAATAAAAAACTTGCACTTTTGAGAAAAAATTTCAAAAAAAAAACCACATTTGTTATTGTTTCTATTCCACAAAATGTCCCCTTTTCTTTATCTACCAGTCAAGGGTATTTCTGAAAATTAACTCTCATAAAGAGCATGAATACCTTGAGATGTGTCGCCTTTCAAACCAGGATCAACCTCAACCAGTTACTTTAACTTGAATTGGGAGCTCAAAATATATAACCTGGAATCACATAATAACATTATAATTAATAAACTTATTAAACTTTATTAAAAAATTTGTTATGCATATGTTAAAATTTTGATACCTTTCATTTCCAACAAAGCAAAATGCAAACCATGCATTTGAGAACACCATAGCCACCTTGGCGTCGTACATGTGAAGTTGTAACAGACCGCTTGTTTAAAAAGTTCAACCATCGCGGTTTTACCAGACTGTGCAGTCGACACGGTTAAACCGAGCTTGCACTTTCACTCAATAGGCTGCAACCACAACACAACATGATTAAAGTGGTTCATAAATTCACCAAGAAGAAGAAGATAAACTTTATGAAGACAGGCTCTTATGCAGTAATAACTACATCTGTCCCAACTCCTTTGAGTCTCAAATTTGCCAAGTATACCTAAATAAATTAAAAAAAACAAAAACAAAAAAAATTGGCATTATTTAAAAAACAATTTAATGGTGGATTGAATATTGAAATTATAAAAGATACCTTCACTAGATTTTGTGCTTTTCTTCCTTGTCTTGCTTCAGAGATGGCCTACTACAATAAAGGAATCAGAATTTGTCAAAGGAATTACAATATGCTTGGTTCGTATAATTTATTTTTTATTTTTTGTAAATACACAAAATTAATTTTTTTTTGTTTTTATTTAATGCAAATTACAAAAAAGAAGAAATATTATATTTTGAGCACTTTTGTCATTTTAAAGTTCAAGTGATAAAGTAAATCACTAATAATTACATATGCAGTTAATGCACATCTTTGAGGAGTAGCTTAATAGAGATATTTATGGTGTTTTTGTTCATGTTTTGAACAATTGACAAAATTACCCTTCGATTTATGAACAAAAAAAATAATGAAAGATGTGAAACACCTCTAATTGAGTTATGTAAAGTAAAAAGTAAAAACAAAACAAATAAATATTCAAGAAACCGATGTGGAAAAATGCTCAAAATAGCAGTGAGTTGAAGAAGAAGAATTAAACTTACTACTGCCCATGTTAAAAGAAGGCTTACTTGTGCCCTTTCCTTCCCAGTATTCACCAACTAACAAAAAAGAAAGTAAAGATTTTGTAATTATTAAATTACAAAATGTATAAATTTTGATAGTGGGTTCTTGAATTTAATACCGTATAAACAAAAACAGAAGTGGGAAAGCTACTATCTCTATAATTATGAGGCAAAAATGGTGAAATTTGGCGACATGAAACTTAACTGTCCATGAACGTGGGAACAATGCATGATATGTAGAATGTTGACCACTCAAATTCCAGCCCCATGATGATAAACCTTGATCTGTACATTTTCTGGAATATAAATAAACAAACATATTATTACTTATGAAGGAAAATATGTTAAACACAAAAAAAGAGCAAAAGGGGTTTAAGAGTTTGAATGTATCCCCTTACCCTATCCCTTCGTGTTGACCATGGGATAAAACTGATGCATATTTTTGCGGCCACCTTCTCTCGATATAAAAATCTGCAGTTAAGTTATATATAAATGATAGTTTAGAACTAAAAGAATCCAGCTTGATGACCTTTGAATAAACAAATAACATCTAAAAGCCACTTTCTTGAGTTCAAAAGATGGAAACAAACAGATATAAGAGACAAATGATAAAAAAAAGGCATGAGCTTTACAGAGAATTGATTGGCCGTCACAGGAGAAGCCTCACATGTACCCAGGAGGATTAGGAATTGCCTGAACTCTCCTCCTCTAAAACCTCTAGTTATGCTGCCACTTCTGTAAAAAAAAGTCAAAATTGGTCAAATGGACATTCAGTATGATCACATCATGAACTACAAACTCCATGTTTGCTCAAAACTTACCTACCCCATCCCACCAAGAGGAACCCCTTGTCTTGCTAATGGTTTTCCTTCATGATTGAAAGGATCAATGGGTGCTCTCTGTGAATATCAACCCAAAAATCATGAGCCACAACCTTTAATTTTATCATAATAAACATCAATACGTGTTTAAGAATTGTAAACGAACATATGAAAATATGTATAAAATCATAAAACTTTATACCTTCAGTAGTTGCCCATCAGATTCTGATGAGCTTTCTTCAGAAGAATTGCTTTCCTGTTTCTTGGCAACCTTCAAAGCTATTCAAATTTACAAACAATAGAAGAAAATTATATCGTAGCTGGAGAATAATTGTTTCTATAGACTCCTCCGTTCTCTTTGTTGGCCTATTTCCGAAATTAGGATAAAACATCAAAAGAAAATGTGGGAAAACTTAAAATTTATTGAAAATAATGATAGAGCTGAATTAACTGTTTAATGGTCAAAATATGAAACATGAGCCCAGTGGAATTGATATGTGTAACGTAAATAAAACTTCATATTCTTCTACAATTCCAAATTCATGAAACAATTCTTCACATCAGATAAGAAATACCATCGATAGTTAAAAACGAAGTCCTTTATTTTGTTATTTTCTTTGTTTGTTTTCTTCTTCAATCTCTATTCTTCCTCTTTAATTATAAAAGCTCGACTTGTACAACCTAAATTTCCTGTAAGAAATAATTACGACAACAAACTTGAGAAACTCCAACCAACACTGTAAGAAATACTGTTAAAGCATAAAATTCAACCAAACATTAAACAACTGAAGTTAGAGTCGGTATTTAGGCACAATATGATAGCTTACCTTAGGTTTATATGATCTGTACGAAGGAAAGAAAAAGGAATTGCTCAGCAAAAATACATACATATATCATTATTAAGTTTATACAACCACATGGTGAACAAACCGATTTGTAGGGTTCAGATCGACTGTTACCTGTTTCTTGAAACCAAATAATTAAAAGTCGATATAGAACGGAAATGGAAGAAACTGAAATAGTGAGAAGGAGTAGTAGATCACCATGGCCACTCCGACCCACCACCACTGTCGATCAACACCAACAGCACAGTCAACCCTGCCTCTGTACCGAAATGTTAATTTCTTAGCTTTCTTGGAGGCAGTTGGAAGACTCGTCCCCACATGTCCCAATAATGGCGGTGGCAAGGTTTGGGGCATGAAACGCTTCAACACATGGACTAACACTTCTATTAGGGTTCACGAATTAGGGAGAGGTTGATAGAGATACAAGAGCTGCTGATAAGCTTCACTTAAAACCAAGCATGAGACAGAAGACCCGATCGATTAAGGCTGAACGGGTGAAGCAAGTCGGTCGACCAGGAATCCGAAAAAAAAATGTATCACTGGGAAGCTGGAGGTCGAAATGGAGAAAACAAAGACGGAGAAATAAATTAAAAGGAAGGTAGAAGAAGGTTGGAGAATGGGTTTCTTGCATCTGATTGGTGAGGCAAGGCGGTGGAAACATAAAGATGAGGCAAGGCGGTGGAAGATAATAAGGGAGGTAAGTGTAACATTTAAAAAATTTTGTGGCAAATGTTTAAAACCTAGAGAAATCAGTGGCAGAAATCAAAATCTCAAAAGCTTCCTGTTCATCAACTTTTTAACAATTAATAGTATATATAATATGTTAATTACCCCATGATGTATGTCCCTGATGATTTAGATACATGAAACATATTCAAATTTTTTTGGGTTATGAGATCCATTTTTTAGACCATAAAATGAAATAATCAACCGGGCTTCACCAAATCATTAATATATTCATAAATATTCCTAATATTAAGACTTTTCTGTAAAAGAAAGTGAATTTTCTTAAATAATTCATAAAACTCACATTATATTTCAACATCTTTCTTTTCCAGACAATGAGTGTTAGCTCGTTCAATAATAAAAAATGATGCTATGGTTTGTTGCTTTTAGGGTTTCTGGAGGTTTGGGTTTTGGGTTTAAGTTTTGGCTTTGTTGCTTTATAGGTGACACTAGAGAAAAACTCAGGGGTTTGTGCCTTTAAATAATGTTCAGATCTTGAGATTTAGGTTTTGGGCTGTTGGCGCTGAAACGTTGTGACCAACATAAGGACACGTCACAACGAAGATGCCATCCACACGTTGCGACCCATATATGTACACACCACAAAATCACTTCCTGCCCAAATTTATCTTTCTCATTTCCATAAAATAAATAAATTCACGATTAAAATCATACCCGAAAAGTTCACTTTACATGTTCTGTAACGTCCCGAAAATCATGACATAATTTTTTTTAGATTAATAAACCGTTAATACATATCTTTCCCATAAAGCCAGAGCAACTAAGTTTTAGCAAAACATTAACAAATCAGAGTTATTCACAGAAGGCGGAAACATGCAGTGTGTGCTCTGCAATCATCCCGAGCCATTCCATTTGAAAACCGAAGTACCTGAAACATAAACTGAAAACCGTAAGCACAAAGCTTAGTGAGTTCCCCAAAATACCATACAACATACAACGACAGATTATCATGCACATACATATAGTTGTCGTGGGCTCCCCTCATGGTCTTTATCTAGTATGTCATGGGCTCCCCCATGGTCTTTACCTGGAATGTCATGGGCTCCCCCCATGGTCTGAAATCCAATTGCCACGGGCTCCCCCGGGGTCTTCCATGCAAGTATCACAGAGACAACTAGCATACCGCATAACATGTAATGGGCCGACATTGGTTCCTTCAACCCATGGATATAGTGAAAATACTCACATCGCACTGCTGGATCATACAGAAACACCCTTGGCTGCTAGCTGGCAGACCCCTGAACTATCAATAACAATGCAACACCCAATTAAAAATTAGGTTCCAATCCATAATCACAACTCCATACCTGGGGTAAAAAGACCATTTTACCCCTAACCTAGCCTTGTCCAAATCTAAGACCCAAACTTACAAGCTGAAAGGTCCAAAGGCCAATTAATCAACCAATGGCCCAATTTTCCAAATTGGGACCAAACCCCTTACATGGGCCTTACCTTAAGGCCAAACCATTCTTTCTAGTCCAAAACATTTTGTATTTCGATGGCCCATTAATAACTCAAACACTCAAATCCAAAATACCAAAAAAATCACTCGTGGCCCAAACCATAGACCAATTTTCCAAATTGGGCCCAAACCCCTTCTTGGGCCTTCTCAAAATCACTATCAGACCAAAACCTGATGGCCCAACAGGGCCCAAGACAATTAAGCCCAACGGGTGGCCCACACCGAAGCTGATGGGTTTTCAGCATAACTACATCCTATGTGATCATG